CTGACAAATCGTATTCAACATGTAGTCCTCAAAGGAACTACATCTACATGGAGGAAAGTAAGCAATGGAGTATGCCAAAGTTCTGTTTTGGGCCCAGTACTCTTCAATATCTTCATAAACAATCTAGATGGGGGAACAGAAGGGCAACTCATCAAATTTGCAGATGACACTAAACTGGCAGGAATAGCCAATACCCCAGAAGACAAGCTCAAGATCCAAAAAGATCTTGACAGGACTTGAACATGGGCCCTATCAAACAAAATGAAAACCAACATAGATTAAAGTAAGGTTCTACACTTAAGCAAGAAAAGCCAACTATAGGTACAGACTATGTAAAAGTTGGCTTAATGCCAGTAATTGTGAGAGGGATCTTAAGAGTCCTAGTGAACCATCATTTAAATATGAGCCAGCAGTGGGGACAGCAGCCAAAAAATCCAAATGCAATCCTAGGCTGCATTAATAGAATCACGATCCAGTGAAGACTTTACAAATAGTAAGGCCACATTGGAATACTGCTTCCAGTTCTGGTCACTACAATATTAAAAAGATGTTATGAAAAGTTGTTGCAGAGAAAAGCAACAAAAATGATCAGGGGGCTGGGTACTAAAACATATGAAGAACAGTTAGAGGAATTGGGTATGTCTAGTCTAATGAAAAGGACTAAGCAGTGTTCCAATATTTGAGGGGCTCCTACAATGACGAGGGAGTAAAACTATTTTCCAAAGCACCAAAAGGCAAGACAAGGAACAATGGATATAAACTAACAAAGAAGAGAAGCAACCTAGAACTAGCAGAAATTTCCTGACAGTGAGAACAATAAACCAATGGAATGGCTTGCCTTCAGAAGTTGTGGAAGCTTTCAAACAGACATTGGACAACCATTTATTTGAAATGGTATAGGGCAATGATGGCTAACCTTTTTGCCATCGCGTGCCAGGAGGGGGGAGCGGGGGAGGTTCATGCACACGCGTGCCCACCCCCATAATTCTATGTGCCCCACCCTGCGCATGCGCGCACAACCCCCCTCCCCCCCGCTCCTGGCACATGATGGCCAGGTAGGCCCATTTTTCTTTTCTCACCTGGCTCCAGATCCTCTCTATGCATCTGGGGAGGGTGAAAACAGCCTTCCCCACTCCCTCGGAGGCCCTTCAGAGGCCTGAAATAGCCCATTTCCCAACTCCCAGTAGGACAGGAAGTGACTTTTTTGCTTTCCCCAATCTCCAGAGATTCCTAGAGAGATCCAGAGAAGGGCGGCATATAAATCGAACCAATAAATAAATAAATAAATAAATAAATAAATAAATAAATACATACATACATACATACATAAATACATACATAAATACATAAATACATAAATACATAAATACATAAATACATAAATATCAATATAAATCGTAAGGATACAAGTAACAAAATTACAGTCATACAGTCATAAGTGGAAGGAGATGGGTGGTGGGAACGATGAGAAGATTAATAGTAGTGCAGACTTAGTAAATAGTTTGACAGTGTTGAGGGAATTATTTGTTTAGCAGAGTGATGGCATTCGGGAAAAAACTATCCTTGTGTCTAGTTGCTCTGGTGTGCAGTGCTCTATAGCGTCGTTTTGAGGGTAGGAGTTGAAACAATTTATGTCCAGGATGTGAGGGGTCTGCAAATATTTTCACAGCCCTCTTTTTGACTCGTGCAGTATACAGGTTGGAAGGCAGGTTGGTAGCAATTGTTTTTTCTGCAGTTCTAATTATCCTCTGAAGTCTGTGTCTGTCTTGTTGGCTTGCAGAGCCAAACCAGACAGTTATAGAGGTGAAGATGACAGACTCAATAATTCCTCTGTAGAACTGGATCAGCAGTTCCTTGGGCAGTTTGAGCTTTTTAAATTGGCGCAGAAAGAACATTCTTTGTTGTGCTTTTTTGATAACGTTTTTGATGTTAACTGTCCATTTTTGCTCTCTTTCCAGCTATTCCTCAGCTGGAGGAGCTCTGGCTGCAGCTCGGGGAAGCAATAGGCAAAACCTACTGTCCCCTTCCTGAGGTCTTTGGCTGGTGGAAGGCACCGGAGTCACAATTTTCCACTGTGTTGAAGGCAGATCTGACCCGCAATGGGTAACTGCAGCTTGTCTTTGCGCCGATAGTGCTAGTCACTACTAGTATACCCAGGTGAAGCTGGGCAGGGACTGAGTCCTCTCTGTTGTCCGTGCAGGTAATGCCAGGGGCCGTGGCTCGTGTTTGGAACCAGCTCTGACTTATGCCCCTCTCCGCCTGTGGTGGGAATGGCAGGGACCTCGGCTTTTCAATAGCTGGAGAGCTGGATCAGTTAGCCAACCTAATCGCTGTTCAGCAATTCCCAATCAATTTTCCCCTCTGCTCATGGTTCAGAGAGAATCCAGGAATCGATGTTGCTGATAAGCAGTTGTTTAGAATGTCTCTTCTGGCTGAAGACCAAGCCAAACTGGGGAGGTCACCAGGCAAGGAGGCGTCACCAAAAAATGATGACAGGCTCGGTCTCCAGGCAGAAGAGAGAGCAACACCCATTCCTGGATTCTCTCTCCCCAGTACAATGGAGAATTTATCAGACAGTGGAACTATCCATCCCATAGTTCCATTTTACCAGGAAGAAAGCCTTACTGAATCCATTATATTCATCACATACTCTTGCTCTACCAATATATTAAATAAACAACAAACAGAAGCATTAGGATTTAAACTATATTTAATAAACTGATTGTTTTTTTTTAGCAATCAGCTTGTTCCCTTCTAAGTGTTTGGAAACCCTAAATGCTTGGTGATCTTTTCTACGATTTTCCCAGGCACTGATCTCAAGCTAGTAATGTGCCAGTGATGTCATTTAAAGATAACTATAGGAGTAAAGATAGAGTAAAGGACATGAAGATGATGGAGACAGATGAAATCCATTACCAAAGCAATGAAGTGCAAAAGTGACATAACAGCAAAACAAGAAAAAAGTGTTCATTACCATATAGTTTGTTTATTAGTCTGGCCTTTATCATTGGGCTGACAAGTATTTTTAATTTTAAGTATTTCTTTTTTAGGGACAATGTAATTGTAATACATACTCAAGTACCATATATATGAACTCATGCTTAAGATTATATTACAGATGTGATGCCAGATTGCTCCAAAATACAATACATTAGGTCACGGGATACAGACTTTTTTTTCAATAAGTGAATATTACTTCCCTTTTGTTTGCAAGTATTTTTAATTAATTTAACAGGTAAACAAAGCATTTTTTCCATGCAGTATCCTATGTATAGTTCAAATAAAATCTAACAAGCCCAGGGGAATAGAAAGGATGGATCCAGAAAAGGAAGAATGAACAATTGTTATCTCTACCCTCTGAACCCTGATAGGTCAATTGCTGATTCAACAAGATAATTCTTTTCTTATGCAAATATACAAACAGCCATCAAATTGTATATATTAATATATTACATGTTAACTGACCCAAAATATTGTCAATGGTGTTGCATGATCTGGGTTTTTGTATCACACTATTGGAATGACCTAGATCCCCTTTTTTCCTGTTTTCCAAAGCAATTTGCATCAGAATTGCTGAGGAAAACTGAGCAAATGTTAACATTATTCTAGCACTGATGGGGAACTTAACATCAAACATAGGCGACCTGTGCTTGTAGCTGCTTACAGCATCAGAAATTTAGCAAAAATTTAGCAAAAAAACCTGTTGCAAAACAGTGACAAGATTCAGCTTTTTTCTTTGCAAGGTAAACATTGTCTCCTTATCCCAATTAAATATTATGCCTCATTCTGTCCCCCATCACAGTTAAAAATAAAATGCCAAAAGATGCAGTTCCCACTTGCTAATAAATTGTCCACTGCAGCATTACATGGTCGAAGTCTCCAAGATACAAAGGAGAGGAAGAATATATTTTTGACAGAAATGTCATACAGAAAGCTAAGTTTGAAAAGAAGAATAAGGATGACTGAATCATTAAGCCAAACAGATTGTATTTTAGGTTATTAATACTGAATTATGTAGAAAGCAAAAGGAAATGCTGACAAGAAAGAATGACTTCAAAATTTGTCTTTGGCCTTGTTCTCAAATCACATCAAGTCAAATTAGTTGTGGTTTATTTTACTTGATCTAACCGTCATGCCAATTGTAGTTTACCAGTCTGTCAATGTTACACAAACCATAAATATGAAATATTTTGTTTCAAATATCATTTTTAAAAGATTAGATGGTGCAAATATTAATGTGCTAAGTGTTTATGTGTGAATATTTCCTGCTAACAATCATTATCACCTACTAACAAGGTTACAATAAATTTATCTGCATCTTCCATGAGTCTGCAATACTCCCCCCCCCACCCCGAAATTATCAGACTGATGCCTATTCTGCATGGAATAGCCTTGCATTTGTCATATCTTCCCAAAGAAAGGCTACCCATCCCAAATGTGTCCTTTATATCAAAAAGGATTCATAAAAGTACCAAAACATAAACCCATTTCCCTACTATGAACTTAATGCAAAGTAATAATAATTAGGCCAAGTATCAGTTCAAGAATGACTGCTATTAAATCACTATAAGCCACAAATAGGGAAATAGTCTAAAAGAGAACAGTAGATCACATAATGCAAGTAGTGAATTATGGAACATCAGGAGAGCTATGCTATACAGTATACAGTATACAGTACTCATTAATGATCCATGACCATGTTCTCCCCACCTCCCTTGTAACAGTTAAACAAACCCTACTGTCATTAAGCATGTCATGTGACATTTGCAACCTCCTGCTAGCTTCTCCATTGACTTTGCTTGTCAAAAGCCAGCCAGCAGTAAAGATCACAATGGCCAATACAGGATGCTGCCATATTGTAACTCCAATCTGGTTGCCAAATTCCCAGATTGCGACTTTATGACCACCGACTGTCCTAAGTATGAGAACTGATCATAAGTAGCACTCATTCAGCCCTGTTCATATGAGTGCTGAATGAATGATTGTTAAACTAGGATTACCTGTAGTGTACTCTCCCAGGATGTTGTACAATAAAGGGCCATTAAAATGGGTGGAGTTTAGGCCTTCCAGAAACTGATTACCTAAAACCTCAATTATCCCTACTATTCTGATTAAAGTTCAGGAGAGTTGCAACCCAATCAGGTCTAGAAAGCTACACTTTCCTGGTTCTTTTTGTAGACATTAAATACTGTACAATATTCTTAAGCAGAGTGAGGGTGTTATATGCAGCTTCCTTCTCTGCAATCTAAAGACGCCCGCAATACTAAAATAACCCCATTTTTTGCTCCAAAACCGGAGTTCTCTTCAAAGCTGCGTTTCCACGATTGCCGAGGCTTCCTTTCACCAGAACTGTACAGAACAAGCACGAATCCTAATCTGCGCTTGCATGCGGTTCTTGTCGCAAGAAAATCCACCAATATGTTCTATTCTCTATTGATTTTGTGCAGCGCGGCGGGCGAAAAGAGCCGTAAGGGCGAAGCTTCGCCTTTGTTTTCCTACACCAAATGCAGTAACCCTTAACTGCATACAGCTACCGATCCCCTTTACCGCTAAGCGTAGGGGCCTTAGGCACTCTCCTCGGCTCAGCCCAAGCAATCCTTCTCCTGTACAGGCCCTCTTCGCTCAGCTGAGATAGGAGCGGAACGGAAGGAGGCGCTCTGACGACAATGTCAAATACGAGGCGCCGGTTACGTGCCTAATGACGCTACTCGCCTGCCACGACTCGCTCTGAGGCCGAGAGGAGAAGCGAGCTGAGCGGGCTGGAAAACCAGGGCTACCGAGGCCTGCTCTCCTCCAGTTCCTCCTGCAGTCGCCACCACGGCAGGGCAGGTGGTAAGCGCTGCACGACTCCCTCGGAGAGCTGACAAGCGGATCCAGAGCGGGAGGGGCGGGGATCTGCGGAGGAGCCTCCCTTCCCCCTTCTCTCCTTTGGAAGGATCGCGTCCGCTGGTGCTTCAGTTTGACGTTTTCCGCGCGGCAGTACCCGGGCTTCGCTTGGGGCGGGATGAATCGCTGTCTCATATTCTAAAATGAAAACTTCAATCCAGAATAATTTTTTCTGATATTACATACGACTCACATATTAAACGCCTGCCTTAAATACAGTAATCAAATACGTTGCAAAATTTATCTGTAGTTTTAACATTTTGTACAATTTTTCTAGGACTAAGCCTATCACATGTCAAGCAATTTACTTCCGAGTAAATATATAGCGGATCGGTCTGAAGGCTGGCAGGTAGTATTCAAAGGTGTCATCTTTGCAAGATCGAATATTATTGGCGAAATCCACTGATAATTCATAAGGCAGATCATAATGTTCATGTAAAAATTGTTATTAACATTAATAACCACCACACAAGCAGAAATAATTGTAATAATTTAGTACCCATCCCAATTTTCATATATTAGTATGAAGTTGATTGGATCTGTACAAGTGTGTATTGTATGTGTCTGCCCTCTTCATTTAACAAGCCAGATGATATGGCTGGGAAGTATATTTTCAGGGTGATGGTTTACATATATATTTAGAAATAAGACACACTGAGTCAATAAGATTTAGCTCAAGGACTTTATGTTAAATGATTGAAAGGAAGACATGTACAGAATTTTTTTTTAAAGTCAAAAGAGAGTATTCAGAAGCAAATTTCAGTTATTTTAATATATCTCTTTCTAGAGGTGCGTAGTATAAATAAAATATAAGTTTTAGACCTTGTATTTTATCACTTTGGAAACAGGTCTTGAGCATCTTTCTGAATGAACTATTTAAAATAAACATCAGAGACATGCAAAATATGCATATGCAAAATATCACTTAGCTGGGACAAAATATTTTTTCCAATTATTGAATTATTGAAATATTTTTTCTAAGTGGTAATATGATTGGGTTATTTTCTCTATAATTAAATTTTACTTGTGATAAATGGTGCCAGCTAAATAAAATAAAAATTTCAAATTATTGGCATTTTAAAGGTTAGGAAAATGCATTCTTGCCAACTTGTTATATTTTAGGGTAGCTTCTATTCATATATGAAATAATACAATCATATCTCTAAAATACTATTTTATAAGTAATTAAACTTTTTCAGATACAGCATGATAACAAGGAAAATTACCAGGGGTAAAAATATCCTGTTTCATAAATAGCATATCCCAAACTTGATTATTGGTTTCTGCCAATTGTGCAAGGAAACCTCTTGCTTTTTCTAAACTTGTTCTGAATATTACATGTTCCTATTAAAAATATAGGTGCAAAGGAGAGAAGGGTTTTTTTTTTAATCATTTCAGTGTAAACATGCTTCTCTTGTTGCAAATATTTTAGTCAATAATAAATGAGCAATATGATCAGATGTATTACCTCCATCTGTAACTATATCAAAAGATTAATAGAAATGTTAATAGCCAACAAGAAACTTGTTGAAGGTTTGACAAAAATACACCTTTAAAAATTGCTTTTACAAAGAAATAAAAAAGTTTAATTTTAAAAAAATAAAATAATTTTAATCCTCTCCAATGGTTTCAAATTTCTATTTTTATTAACTCTTTTTACTTATGGGGTCTGAAATATCCATTTAAATTCATCTGTAGAATTTAACTACATTGGAAATAATTATATACTTCATATTTTTACAATGTATGGTATTAATGCCAGAGATTTCTAAAATTTTAAAAGCCATGCATATTACATACATACATTTTAAGGCTTTAGCAATTTAATGTTGTGCAACTTTCTACAGCATTTTAGGAAAAGTTCAATACAGTTTTCCTGTTTTTAAAACATTTTGATTGTTGGTTTATTAGTGGTAAAAGTGAGGTTTTATATTATCTATAGAACTAAGTTATAATTATACATTAAAGTTGGTTTTCATTTTCACTTTGGCTATGGGTGTTTTATCAATGTTTTATTTTAATTTCTGCAGAGCACCATGACCTGGAGCAAACTTCCTTTAAGAAATCTCAATTTTATTGAAGCTTCAAAAGTTTTTGTGAGATCATGTTCTAAGATAGTAAGCAATCCCCAAATAATTGAGTTAGGTTGTTATAAATGTATGCCTTTATAGTAATGCTTGTTTTTATTAATTTAAAAATGTTCTTGGTAATTAAAGTCATATTTAGATACCAATGACAACAATATTGTGATTAAGATTATAAAATGAAGTTATATTCCCCTACATTTTGTTTCATTTGTTAAACATATCACATCCCTTGTGTATATGTGACTTATTATTTACATTCTCTTTTTAAAGAATAAAGCTAGAACTTTTGCAATTAAATTAATAAATATTTTTAATGCTTATTTAACAAAAAAATCTTCTTGTTGAAATATTTTTCATTAATTTTCACAGAAGAGATAGGAGTTAGGAAATGTATATCAGAATAAATAGTTGAAGCTAAACAATATATACAATCAAATACTTTCTAAACAAATACTATGTTTGTAGTGTATTTTAAAAGTATTTCAAATAGCTTTAACTTTTATTTTATGAAGCACATACAGATCTTAAATCTGAAAAGTCTTTATGCTTTTAGTAGTAGAAAATATTTGAAGTAGTTCTCTGTTCAGTTTATTTATAAAATTATCTGTTCTCGTGCTCATAGTCTGGGGTTCAACCTCTTATGAAAAATAAACTTTTTAAGCAAGGCTGTTAAAATGGAATTCCATTTCTGAAAAAAAAATAACTTAATCTAAGTTATGTAAACTGGTATTTATTAGAATCAAAATACCTATCAAAGTGTCATTATATATTGGGTATCCATTGAAATATATTTTTAGAACACGTATAATATGAAGCATAAAAAACTAAATTTCATCCAAGATTTGGATTTGCCGAATTGGCAATAGAATCTTTCTTATTTTTTATTGTATAATTATTGGGAACTTTAATACTGTAGATTTTAAAAATGACCTGCACGCATGCCTTCCTAGTTCAGTAATGGTTCTCTCCCAGCCCAGTGGGATTTTATAATCTGTTGCCTCCTTGGTTATCAAAGGGGAGAAAGTTGGTGCTTATACAGGTAGTCTGAGAGGTTAGCATCTAGTATCTTAATATATCTAATCTTAACCGGACCTGTTTTTAAATGCCTTTCCACATTGCCTCACAGAGAAAGGCAGTGCAGCTTGGTTTGCTAGATAACCGATTATCGTAATTGGGGAATATATCCTGATAGCTAAAAAATAAAGAAGCGCTAGGTATCTAGCATATTTTAGCAGATAGAGGACCCGGATTGTGGGGGCAATAAACTGACTTTGTATAAATATACAAAAGTATGAAGGCTATTGCTTAACGCTTTGTAAGCCGCCCTGAATCTCCGGAGAAGGGCGGCATATAAATAAAAAAAAAAGATATATTTTCGGTGATAAAGAGAACCAGTCAAACCTGCCCAGCCCACTCTTAGCTGACATTGCTGAAGGTACTAAGAAGACGTTCCGGGTTTTCCTTGCGGGGAATGCGTAGCAATATAGGAGGAAGGGGCGGCACTCTTAAAAACTCCAAGTGGCCTCCGGGGTGGATCTCACCTTCTTCCCGGCTTGCTCGTAAGACCTCAGCTTGATTCCGCTGAGGCGGGGTCCCGGTCACGCCGCCCAGCGCCAAGAGGGAACGGGCGAGTAGTCTGCCCGCGACTTTCACTGGGTTTTGGGATGTCAAGTTGTAGCGCAAACTCCAGGAATCGTTCTGAACCCGGGAGCAAACGGCAGCGAGGAAAGACATTGTCCATCGTCGGAGCTGCAAGGATGGCCTGAGTCTGAATTATTGACGCGCTAAAGAGTTAGCGCTTGCCTCTACCTTTCAACCTAGCAGATGCCGGCTTTCGACCTTCCAGGAGTCGAATGCCCGTGAGAAGTAGCCCGTTGGTTATTTTTACTTAAAGCCGTCTGGAAAAACTATTTCGGGTATTCGTTTGCTTTGTTTTCAAGAAGTAGTGCAGCTTCCAAATACTTAAGAGTTGTCCTTGATGGAAATGTGGTGCTTTCCAGCGTGGACGGTTTAGAATATGCAGTTTGTAGATACTAAACCAAAGGCTGACTTGGCCGAGGTTGCCTCTTAAATTTTCTCATACCATAAAAAGAACCAGGAAGAAGGAAAGCAAGGCTTGGAAAGCTGCTGTGTGGTTCCAGTGGTAGTTTTTGTTTCAATGAATTGGTCCAATGTCTAATCAGAGGAAAAGAAACTTGTCTTGTGAGATTCACTCAGAACTATTGTGGATATGCGCACAGAACTATTATGGCATATATTCTCAATATATTCTATATATTCTATTATAAAGTGCAAAATAGCAAAAGATTGTGGCATCTTTCTGCCTCAAGTTAATAGATAAAGATGCTTTGATGTATATAATACATTCCATGTTAGGGCAAACATTCTGGTTTCAGGTTTTTAATGTTTCTTTATTCCTTCACCTTGTTTTATAAAGAGGCTATTTTCACTTTAGTCCTGAACTTGAGTACAACTGAAGAAGTAGGGTAAAATTCCCTATTAAGAAAAGCTAAATAAATTCCAGGATTTAGTTTGAAGAGAAGAAAATTTAATTTAGAAATTGTAACATTATGAGCAGCAAGACTTTACTGCTGAAGATTGGTTGTTTTCACGATCTAGAGCAGAAAACATCTAAGAAAAGATTAGGCTGGGCTCAACACCCATCTAATTCAACTGCCCTTTACTGTTCAAATTTGACAAGGAGAGCAGTGCAGACCACTTTGAGAAACAGTAGCAGGAGAATGGATTTTTGATTTAATCTGGAAAGTCTATTCTGTTTTGGAAACTGCTTGGACCGTCTGCTGGGAGGACAGCATGATTTCCACACAAAATGACCTTCCTAGTGTGATCCCTCCAAATTCATGCCTTCTCTGGAATCAGTCGAGGTGGGCAAGCATTGTAGAAATTGCTCAAGGTAAGTACAGCCTCTTTCCCCATTTTGCAAAGTAAGGTACCTGGGAAGGTTTTGGAGTTTGACGGGCGGTCTGGTCTATGAAAGCAATTAGAGAGGAGGGGGATGTTTTCTAAATTCTTTGTATAACAATGTAATCCTGAAAGTAAAGGTTGCTCTATTATAAAACACCCTAGGAAAGCACCCTAGGAGCCGGCGAGTAAAAACCCTTGAAGTCATGCAGTTTTCAATTGGGGAGCTTTAGACAGGCGGGAAATGGTGCGAATTTCAAAACGAACGTGCTATGGTATCGTAGGAATGACCCCGACACGTCGGAGGAGGGTGGCATTGATTTATGCTTTCAAAGGATTAAGTTGGCTCAAGGAAGAGGTAGTGGGATCGCAGGTTGCCTCTTGCGGGGTGCGGACTCCTCCCGGCTCTCTCTTCGCTTGAACACTTCGCCTCCCGCAGACGGGCGGCAATTCCTCCTTGGGGACGGCGGGCGACAGAAGGGTCTGCTTAATGGGCCAAGAGGCGGGATGAGGAGGAGGCAGGGGGAGCTTCCTTCTCCGTCCGGTTTATGTCCGCAGACAGACCTGAGGCATACGCCGACTTCTGAAAGGGGGAAGAGGAAAAAGAGTTACTCTGATGATGCGTCCGCGTATTCGCGTTTGATAGTAGATCGACCCCCTCCCCTCATCGGCTCCATCTCCCCCGAGGGAGAGGCGGCAGCGGCGGCGGCCTCAGTCGGGGTGCGCGTGAGGAGGGAGGGGGAATCCAAGCGCGCGCGAGCCGGGGCCGGGCGGAGTCTGTGTCCCTGGCGAAGCTGGCCTGGCGCAGCGCGAGGGCGGGTGCGGGGTCTGGCCGACTGCTAACGGGCGGCGGCGCCGGTGGCGGCGCAGCCCGAAGAGAAGAAGGCGCGATAGCCGAGCGGAGGACGGGTGGGTGGGGCCTGAGTGCCAAGAAGCGAGCGCCTCCCTGCCCTCGCCCAGTCTAACCCAGCGAGGCGCTGCCGTCTCCGATCCCCGGGCACCTCTCCTGGTCCTCGCGCTCTCGCGCTCTCCTCCTCTCCCCGTTCCTCTGCCCAGTCGCGCGCTTCCCCCTCTGCCATGTTAGCCGCTCTCTCTCTTTCTGTCTCCTCCACAGATCTCGCGAGAGCGGCCGGCTGCTGCTGGTGGCTGCGGAGGGGGTTGGAGCGGCGGCGGCGGCAGGAGCAGTAGCGGCGACGGGCGGCGGCGGCGGCGGAGGAGGCGGCGGCGGCCGGGAGGCGCAGGCAGGCAGGCGGGCGTCGGGTAGCCCGAAGGCATCATGGCGGATAGAGACAGCGGCAGCGAGCAGGGCGGCGGCGGCGGCGGGGCGCCGGGCACGGGCCCTGGCGGCGGCGGCGGGCCCGGCAGTAGCGGCGGCGGCGGGGTGGGCCTCCAGCACGAGACGCAGGAGCTGGCCTCCAAGCGGGTGGACATCCAGAACAAGCGTTTCTACTTGGACGTCAAGCAGAACGCGAAGGGCCGCTTCCTGAAGATCGCGGAGGTGGGTGCTGGAGGCAGCAAGAGCCGGCTGACGCTCTCGATGTCAGTGGCGGTGGAGTTCCGCGATTATCTGGGCGACTTCATCGAGCACTACGCGCAGCTGGGGCCCAGCCAACCGCCGGAGCTGGCGCAGGCCGCGGACGAGCCTCGGCGGGCCCTGAAAAGCGAATTTCTGGTGCGCGAGAACCGCAAGTATTACATGGATTTGAAGGAGAACCAGCGCGGGCGATTCCTGCGCATCCGCCAGACAGTCAACCGCGGCCCAGGCCTCGGCTCCACACAGGGCCAGACCATCGCCTTGCCAGCGCAAGGGTTGATCGAGTTCCGCGACGCCTTGGCCAAGCTCATCGACGACTACGGCGTGGAGGAGGAGCCGGCCGAGCTGCCCGAGGGCACCTCCTTGACGGTGGATAACAAGCGGTTCTTTTTCGACGTGGGCTCCAACAAGTACGGCGTTTTCATGCGGGTGAGCGAGGTCAAGCCCACCTACCGCAACTCCATCACCGTCCCTTACAAGGTGTGGGCCAAATTCGGACACACTTTCTGCAAGTACTCGGACGAGATGAAGAAGATCCAGGAGAAGCAGAGAGACAAGCGGGCCGCCGCTGCCGCCGCATCCTCCTCCGGCGGAACAGAGCAGCAGCCAGAGACCGAAATCAGCAGCAGCACCGCTATCCCCACTGGCCCGCCCGGAGCCTTGCTGCAGGCGGAGGAGCCAGAGGAGGATTGATCTCCATCTATCTTTCCTCCCTCCTCTCCACATCCCTCCTTCCCGTTTGGCTGCCTCCTCCCTGCCCTGCTGCACAGAGACACTGGTAATAATGACAACAACACACAGAGAAAGACTTTATACTGTAAGGGAGAGAAAGAGAGAGAAAACCAACATCCACAAGCCGAAAATAATGCATACCGTTAAATATACCTGTTATAACTCCAAGGGGAGCACCATCTACCTATCCACCACCAAAACTGACAGCCGAGCAAGCAACTTCTTTCTCTCCACCCCATCGCTGGATTGTTCCTTCCACTCTTGCTCATCGTATAAAACAGTAAGCAGCTGCTAAAAACAAACAAACAAAAAAAAATTACAAAAAAAGTAATAACATTATATAAGATGAACTGTGTTTCCTACTTGATTAAAAAAATATAAAGAACTGAGTGTTTATTTCCCTAATTAACCAAGAACTTTTGTACACGTTTAAGCTATTATTAAAAAAAAAGTGTTTGCAAAAATGGTCAAGATTAAAATATTGCTGAATTATATTAAAAAAGAGAAAATGTCCTTTTCATGTTGAGCTAACATTTGACTTTAGCACAAAAAAGAGATATTTTAGAACACGTAAAATAATATTTTTAGTTTTTCTTCTCATTTTGTTACCAAATTTCAAAACCTTTCATGGAGGTTATTATAGTATATTTGACACCCTATATACCTGTGATTAGAGATGTGTATATATATATGAGGGCTAGGCATGCTGTGTGTCTGAGCTTTGTCTAAATGTTATGCAGAAGTCTGTAGAGTTAAAAGGTACGTAGGTTTAATTCATGCAAGGTAAACAATAAGTGCTCTCTTTTATACAATATGCATTGCATCTGGACCTTAAGCATATAAAATGGTCAGTGAAACTTCTGTGAACATAAAGAAAAATATTAAAAAGGCATTTAAATGAAATTTGCTAACTTGTGATTTTTATGGTTTGAACCAAAGTTATTCAAATAGTAAAAAGAGAGAGAGAAATGATCTCCCATATTTTTCTGCACCTGTTTGGTTTACAACTAAGTAGGTATCTTGTCATTGTTGTGTATATGAGATGTAATTGTATTGTTCATAATATATATATTTTTATGAAGTGTACTTAAAGTACTTTAACATGCAGCGATTTTCAGTATGCCTTTTTTTTCAACAACAGGTGGTAAGAGTTTTTTGTGTGGCCACTAGCACTATTTTAATTTGTTCAGTCTCAGTCAAAACTCGAGCTTATGTTAGTGCTAACTAACTTGTGTAGGCCTGTCGTAGACATCAGTTGAACATGATTATGATGTAATCCTACTGAGCCATGGATTTGAATTTCCTTTAAAAGTAAAAGCCAAGTTGGTGTGTTGTAAAGAAATTTTCATGTAGCTGTGGTGCTAGTTATTACTGGCTACATACTTTATTCATGTAGTATTGACTCCTCCCCCAAGTGTGCAAACCTTCAGTTATAATTATGTACTTTGTGTGATATATATTAAAGTTGTAAAGTATAAAAATAGTCTGAGAATACTAACCTTTCTGGAAGTGTTCTCCAACTTGCAATTATTTGTAGTAATATACTTTTACAGATTTTTCTTTAAAATATTTGTGCTTTTAATTGACTAACTACTTGCTGCTGTATAGTAAAATATTAATATATTTTTATCATTAAACTGCTGCATGACTATCATCATTGCAAGTGAAAAACAATAAATGATGCCTTAAAACATAGAAAAAATAGTTGGAATTCTGTAGGAAGAATGGACAAGACAAGAATCTTATTGATTCTTGAATTTCTGAGTGTATTCATTTTCTAAACTACTTTGACAAATTTATCAGTGTGGATTTAACTACTGTATGTAGGAAATTCTACCTGTAGGAACAGAACTGTGTTTTGGTTCTCATTGATTGTAAGAGATTGGGTCTAGGTAAGACAATGATGGTTCAAAAGAAATGTATGTTTAGTTAAAAAATAATCTCCTTCTTTACAGATGTATTATAAGTTATTAAGACAAATCTGTTTCAGTTATATCCTTTATTTCTAGTTAAATATATTTGCTAATGGTGTCTATATAGCACCAAATGTGCAATAATATTATAGTGGTTAGGAATTTTTTTTAGAATCACTGGAATTTATTACAATTGTTTTCTAAGATGCACTTTTCCATAAGGAAAAAGTAAGCTTCCATGGTGCACAATGTTTTCGGCTGCATGTAAAAACATTTGAGTGTCAGATTTGCTTTGTTTTAATTGAAGCATTTGTAGGCAGTTTCATACTGTATTTGAACTGTGATGTAGAAAGGACTGCATTTTCCATGCTGTAGGTAGTTGAAAAGCTTAAATGTTTTGATTTTTGCTATTTTATTTGTAAGTTCCACTATTCCCTACAGTGTCTAAAGTTTTAATTCTAGAGATTGGCAGAAGCGTTGTTTTTAGCAATAACTTGTTTTGTATGGGGAGAGGGACAGTCTTGTTCCATTTGAATTAAATCTGAATTAAACTTCTGTAACAGCAAAATACTCAACTCGGTTTTAGAATGGACATAGACAGTAGACCTGTAAAGAGAGTTTAAGTGAGTACTTTGCTTCTCAGGGTGTGATCATACATTTTATTTGCCCCACTGTTGCCTGTGACCAGATTTGTATAACATAACAAATGTATGTTTATCAAAGGCAAAAATAGAATGAAGGTACATAGTGTAGGCAGTTAGTCCTTACCTACCACCTTTGACCCTCTAAATCTGTTGTCTGATTCCAGGCAATGTTGAAGTTATTTTAGTCAACAAATATATGTTTTGTTTGTGCCTCTTTCCTGAGAGTCAAAGTTCAAAAATCTTTTCCTAGTCTGTGTATCTGAGAATTCAGTTTTTTATATCAGGGCTCTCCAACCTTGGCAACTTTACGACTTGTGAACTTCAACTCCCAAAATTCCTCAGCCAGCTCATGCACTGGCTGAAGAATTCTGGGAGTCCACAAGTCGTAAAGTTGTCAAGGTTGGAGACCTCTGCCTTATATGATGGAACAAGATGACATGTGAAGTTTATAATTCTACTTTTATTATATCTTAGTCCAGTTCCAGCAGAATTTGGTGTCTCATGTTGAAGAATCTGTTTTCCCCCATAGGCACACTAAATACTTTAGGACAGTGGTGGGATTCAGCCAGTTCACACCACTTCGGGAAAACCAGTAGTTAACTTTCTGAGCAGTTTGGCAAAATGGTTGTAGGAAGAAATCATTAGGGCAGAGAACCGGTTGTTAAATTACTTGAATCCCACCACTGCTTTAGCACCAGTTCAATATGCTGTTATTTGAACCATAAATTACCTTGATTTGAATTCATGTTTTTCCAGTTGAGGTGCTCAGTACCTGATAAAGGTACAACAACTCACAATTAAAATAAGCAATAGTGAGAGAATCTTGTTTAAAGGCCAGATGAATAAAAGTAATGGTATATTTGATCATATTTGGTATTTTAAAAATAGTATGTTCAAATGTGCCAAGCATCCAGCTTTTGGAAAACATGCCTTATTTTTCCTGAATATGTTTTCAGTGTCTTGTAGGAAAGATCCACAGTCATAATGATATTTTATATGAAATGCAAGAAAACTTGAAATCCACTGCAATATAAACACAAATCTGTTTTTGTTTTATTTTTAAATGAAAGGGGCACTGTCAAGTAACTTTTAAAATATGATCTCCCTTTCAGACTATCACAGCATGGCAATTGTGTTCATTTTAATTCCACTTGTTTTTTTTAAGTTGCTCTGTCTGAGAAATTAAATAAATGAGTTAAAATTAGACACTGTTGATTCATGCCTCTTTATTATTGTATGCTGTAAAATGCCATTTTCAGCCAGAGGGGGAGCTAAAGTAATTAAG